CGTTTGAAAAACTTGTTATCTGCTTCAGCAAAATGGGCACATTTTATCCTTAAAAACGATGTACATGTATGTCACATGCATGTCATAATATAAAAAACATGCACATACCTGTACTGTACGTACATTACATGTACATGTTCACCATCTGTATAAAAACACTACATGTTGTATCCGATCTCCATCTTTTCCCGACGCAAGTTGTTCACTGCAAAACATCTCGTTAAACTTTCACAACTTGGCCTCGTTCTACGCTTTTTCACGTGGTGAAACGACGCCTTAACAGTTTTCAGCGAAACAATTTCTTGGTTCCCTTACAATTTTACAAAATAACATTTATAATGTGATCTTCACATGGTTAAAATTACCAGTTGTTGAGCCGTCCTTCATTGACGAAGTCCACACCAGGAATTTCATGCTCACCATCGCCATCGTCGCTTTCGCTGTCAACCTCTGGCTCATACATATACAGCAGTATCTGGCCAGCCTCGTCTCTGTTGTCATCCTACAATATGATCTATCAGAAAGATCACGATCTACGTCGCTGTCTGACGATGATTCTGACGAAACTATTTGCTCCGACATGTTTTTCGTTGATGGTAGTCTTGTGGACACGTTTACGTTTGTACATGTACGTGTGTATACACGGACATGCGATTAGTGAGCTATTTTGTTCGGCCAATGACGTCATCACCTTAACTGTGGGTTTTTTGTGAGCGGAGTCACGCTAAATAATTTTTCCCTTTCAGGGTTGCTGTTTACAGGGTAGACATTAAAACTGTAGAGTTAGTGAATGATTCGCCCTCTATTAACTCCTACGAACGTTTTCTTGATATTAGAGCTTTTTATTTCAAATACCCTTTAACGCACGTATGTAGCTCAACAACAACACTTGTGATTATCTGAGTGTACGCTAATGTTCTATTAATGGTGACATGTGACTTTCAAAAAAAAAGACAGAACGGAGGGGAGATGAATGCAATTTATCACTATGTAATTATGAGAAATATATTATGTTGGCCCATTCAGTAGAATATGTTATCCAAATCGATGAAATGTTTTGTGGAAGAAGTCGTTTTTTAATTTTGAGGCCTGGAAAATGTCTACAGCACATGCAGGCTATTTGTCCATAAATTAATGTCAAGAGAAGGAGGTGAAGGAACATTATTTAATTATCCAGGGCTGTACAACAAAGCCTGGCTATTGGCCAGGCAGCATGGCCAGGATTTCCCATGTACTACTGTTTCTTGGCAACAGTGGCAATGTGCAAGTGTACCAGTAACAATCCCCCCAATTGCTGCTTTGCTCGCAAAGAATCAACTCATTAATTGGCTGAGGATTTACAATCGACATTTCTGCCCAGCAAGTCATCCTAGAAATAGGGGCATCCTCAGAGATACTGACCCAGACCCAAAGACTTCAAATATATACATTGTGTCTAATGGAGCAATAGAGCTGTCAATCACTCCTCAGAAGATTTATTTTCCTGCAGAGCTGGCGTAGATTTATTCTAAAATTTTTTTGTCATCAGGATTTGCAAAGCCACTTTAAAGTAATCATTTATTCCCCGGGTATTTTTTGGTGTATTGGCATCTAAGTCAGTTAAAAATCATGATATTAAGTATTAACCACTTCACGCCGGGGCATTTTTCAATGTTGATGATGCTGGGCCGGCATGCCTATCATTTTTTCCGTTTTCAAAATTCTTCAAAAATTCATCATTTCATTTAACGGACTTTCACAGCCGCACGAAGTAATCTTTAGGCACTACTCTAAGTTGACAGGTGGCCTTCATTGACGCCCGAGTATTTCAGCCAGGCCTGCATCCTTGTAAAAAGAACCCAGATTGTGCAGTGTTGTATAACTGCCTTTTGTCACGAACCTGGCTCAGTCCACTGCTGACCTCTTTTCAATAGGGGCTAGATTAGCGTGCAGCGGTGCTGTGTGGCTCATCGCTGGGGCGGTAGACCGCTTTTGTCCCTGGTGGTAATCCGCTCGCTCTCAATGCCCCAAACCCTTGTATACGGTTTCAAAACAAGGCTGGATTATCACCACTTTTGAGAGGGAAAAATGTCGATAATTCCCAACAGCCTGGTCTTTTGTTTGGACTACAGTCTTTTGTTACAGGGCCCTGTTTCCTTTGTCTGAGTTCGGAGATCCCGGCCACGTATACAAACCATACGTCTCTAATTCCGGAGTCCCCGGCAGGAAGTGGTTAAAACAGTTAAATATTTTTGTTCGATGTTAAGACAAATCACATCTTGGGAAGTGTACTTAAGGGTTTAGGCTAGACTTGCCAGCGCTAAGACTGAATTATCGAGAGTTCCTGAAGTGTTTAGACTTTTGCAGCATCTATTGAAAATAAAAATTAACACAGATTGCGTCAATTGATCTTTGTGAAATCTTCAACAGTTACTGTAGTTCCATTTAATTTCTAGAAAAATCTCTAAACGGATTTCATTTTTTCTGTTGAAACAGTTTAACGTTTAAATGCCCAACCCTTACTGTCATGGAAAACTTTTCATTCAGAAATATCCGAAGCAGCTGGCAGTTTGCTTGGGGTGATAACTCGGATGACGAATGCAAGCGGTCAGATGTCTGCCTAATGTCAGTTCTTTTTTTTCACCCAAAAATGCAGCTGTGCACCTCGTATTGATGGGAGAAATGACAGTATGTAATGTAATGGTCAGTGATGGTATTTTAGTACAATACGATGGTCAAGTATTTTGAGGAAAAAAGTAAATTTTAAAAAAGTATCTATGTACTGTAAGACCCATTTTAATGAGAAAATTCAGTGCCCATTCATTCTTGTTCAGACAAATATTCCAAATAAAATCTCTGAGGGGCTTCCATCCAACCAAAGATTTACAGCTGACCAACCATCATGTATTACAATTGTTCCAGCAGACTTGGTTGGTCTACTTATTGACAGCCCATCTTGGCAATTCCTGGTCAAAAACATGAATTCTTCCATCCTTGGCATTTTCTATCCAAACCTAGACCCTGTGTGGTTTTTAATTTTCCCTGGCACCCTCAGCACCCAACCTGCCAAAAATATTAATTCTTCCCTCCTCAACATTTCTCTATCCAAACCTGGACCATGAGGTTTTTATTTCTTCTTCACAACAGCTCGTTTTTTAGGGAGGACCCAACCTGCCGCATATCTTTTCCATTCAAACCTAAACCACATATAATTTGTATATATTTCCCAGCACCGCTGTATTTTTTATTCGGAGGACCCAACCTGCAAAAAATATTAATTCTTCCTTCCTCAGCATTTCTTTTTTCACACCTTGACCACTTGTGGTTTTTATTTTTTCCTGGCACCACTGCATTTTTTATTGGAGCATCCATCCCGACCCATCGAAATATATATTCATTCTTTCCTTCTCGGCGTTCAGTTTCTATCCATACCTAGCCAAATGTGGTTTTCATTTTTTCCTGGCATCACTGCACTTTTTGTTCGGAGCATCCATCCCAACCCTTTAAAATATTCTCATTCTTTCCTCCTCCTCATTTATCTTCTGTCTAAACCAAGACTATGTGTGGTTTTTATTTTTTCCTGTACCAGTGCACATTTTTTTCCTTATTCTGAAATTATCTTCATTCTTTCCTCCTCAGCATATTTCTATCCAAATCTGACCATGAGGGTTTTTTATTTTTTTCTTGCACGACTGCACATTTTTTATTCCGAGCACCCAGCCACCCAAAAATGTTAATCCTTCCCTCCTCAGTGGTTCTCAAACCAGGAAATTTTAAGCAAAAAGGGATAATATGTAAGAAGTCGGAACATCAAAGGGTCAGCATGAGTGCTATTAAGACGGAGAAATGGACCAAACACTGTTGACACTTGTTTAGCCGACAGACTCAGGGACAGCTTGTGCACATGTTTTTTGTACCTTTGATGTAGTGCTGCTGTTCTCACATGCGAAGGAACGTACATGTACAATCAACGTAACACCCTTTGAACCACTCATTCAAGAGAACAGACAGGAACACATTCTGAAGTGATGCCACTGGTGAATCAAAGTTACCCTTCCCAGCTACACTCTTGTAAAACCAGTACAAGCTAGCCTTTTCAGCTTTTTTTGAGTCAAGCCTTCCGGTCGTTGAAATGTTCAGAAACTCAGTCTTATGTCAGACCGTAACTTTCCTAAAACATTTTACTTCAAAGATAAACTTACAGATGCATGTGGGTCTTTCTTTTAAATAGGGGGCCAAATGTGTGACATGGTGGTCAAAATTTCAAAATTGTCTAGAATTCAAAACTTTATGTTATGTAATTGATAATACATTCATGTAATAAACGTAAATGATTTTTGCTTTGAATAACTACTTGACGTGTACAGACTCAATTTGTGCAGTGGTGCAGCAAATTATTTGACATGTAACATTTTCATTAGAATGAATTTCATCATTTATCCGATATCATAATTTACCTTTCTGTTGATACATGTAGCTTAGTTAGAAAATAAACAATTTGTTGTTTTGCCAGTGGTATGAAATGTCTTATGAAACAGGTCATCAAAAATATCACACAGAATACCACTTGCAAGTGAAAAATGATGAGATTTTTCCCTTGCAAGTGTGTAAATCAACATTTTTTCATGTAAATGAATTTAATGTACATTGTAATCAACACATATTAATTGGCAAATTATAAATATGAAAATCAAACGGGAAAGTGAAACTGGTCTTGTTTTAAATGGTCATGATAACTGTGATGTCCCTGAAATACATGTACATATTGGCCCCCATAGTAAAAGAAAGACCCATGTGCAGATAATATGGCACGCTTGTATGTCAAAATCCAAATTGAACCAATGTTTGGCTGACAATTTCCAAACCACACCATAACCAAATCTAAATTGAAATAAGGAGCTTACTTGCAGCACTAGAAACATGACTGAAGAATATCAAATACAAAAACCAGCTCTCAAGCACCCAAAAGCAGAAGATGGAAGAAACTGAAAAATTCAACCTTAAAGAAACTGTAAACTTACTCTGAATAAGTTTTGATGTGTTTTCCATTAACAACAATGTCACCACCATCAAATTCAACTGAGCCTTCAAACATTCCATGGGTAGAGTCATACTTGAACATGTAAACCTGGAATAAGAACATATGGAAAAAGTCCTTGTTACATACTTGTGCACGTATAAATGTATTAGTCACAAGTACAGTACCAGTGTTTGTAAATAAGATTTTGATGAGGTTCAGACTTACATGTACAGGTACACTTCCACAATATACATGTACATGTACTGCTCCATGCAGTACTGTACATGGACATGATACTGCACAAATGTTTTCAAAGTCAATTCCAGAAAACTTAAAGACTGATAGCAGTGAACATGAAAACAGCCACTGATAATTCTCACAGCCTAATAATGACTGCACCAGTCTGTCATAAACGTGTTCTACACCTTGACGATATCATGTACATTTATATAAATTCATGACATGCATGTACAGTGCACATGTAAATGTACATACATATATACATGTAACTCCAATTTACAACTAAACACATCCTGATTTTATTATATAAAGTACATGTACATGTACTTAGTTTGAACCCAATCGGTCCCTGTAGTTCAAGAGAGATGGGCCTAAAGAATACATTTGAGAGCGTGTACATGACAACTTCATCATGATGTTATTGTTTTTGACAATCAATGCTATAAGGTCTTTTTGGGGGCTATTGAACATGTACATGTACTTAACAAAGTGGATGGTGTGTGTACAGTATGAAAGTGTATGACACTTGGGTGACAGAAAGACGACAGACTAGTACTGGGGTCTACGTATGTCAGCGTTCTTTGAAATATTTTGTTCGCCATACATGTGCCCCAAATTAATTAATACTACGAGTTTCCAAGTTTGCTTCTGCACATGAAGTTGCATGACACACACAGATTAGTGCAGCAGTTTCTACTGGCCAAGACACTTGCACAAAAGCACTTTTTTGAGGAGAGCCTGCCTCTTTTCAAGGTATGCAGACTTTAAGTGAAGATGTACCAGTATATGAATAAATGGATTTCAAGGATTCAATGCAGAATCACTCAGCTACTGACAAAAATTGCATTGCTCTAACAACTGCTCGTATTATATGCCACTTCACTGCTCCCACTCCAGTTCACTGTAAACTGTACAAGTATACATGTAGATGTCACACATTTGCAACCAATATCGTATACTGCACATATTACAGCACATACTCAAAGTACATGTAGGGCTATTCACATATTCGTGACACTGCGTCCCAATCATCACGTGTACATGCGTTAGGAACTATCCGTTTCCAAATACAACATGGCACTTTGGTTATGAATACATGTACATGTATTCTTGTTCATAAATGGCAATACTGGAATCTCCATTTTTCTTTTTCCATAATTATTGGACCATGCATACAAAAATAAATTTGGAAAAAATTGTTTTAATTCATACACATGACAAAATGTAAATTGAGAGAGTTTTTGGGGAGACACACAGAAATAAATGGTGCCATCATTTCATTCATTTTTGTCCCCAACACGTCAACCTTGTTCCCATTCATATGAGCTTGCCACGCTATTAGGTTCAAAGTGACGCACAGAAGCCCATGGAGTAGAAGTTAGCATCTGTATTACTTGGCTGTGGCTTGAAATTACACATGAATCTACAGGTACGGTTGTGGCTGCACCCACTTTCCATACACCCATACATAAATTGGAGGCGCAGCCAAGCGATTTGGGCACAACCAGCACATACCGGTGTGTGGGTATATGATGTCGACGTAGGATGAGGACGAATGAACTTCTTAGATACTCCGCGGAAATTTGAAAGACTTTTTTCACAATTTTTTTCACCTGAAAATTGGAAAATGTAAACATTTGTATTTTAGGCCTTTTAAAACTTAAAATTCAGAACAGTTCCGATTAAATCGGAAACAGTTGGAGGGTCTGTTGGTGGGTTTAGGGAGTACATGCACGGTACAATGATATGCCCTAGCCTTGATACTAAAGCAGGCACAAGCTCAACAGCTGATGATATTTACAGACACACTGAAAGTTTACTTTAACTCTTACACCACATTCCCACTTGATCCACCAATTGAGGGATCTAATCTACCTTTTGCCAAATTGCCGGATCAGATCCCCTAATTGGTGAATCAGATCCTGCAATTGGTGGATCATGATCAGATGGGAATGCAAAAGGTGGATCTGATCCAGCCATCGGACCTGTCAACATGCATTCGTGCATGTGTCGCGCGAAACTTTTGCGGTCTGATGAACAAAGAAATATACTTTTTGGCGTGAAGCTTATGTAAATATCTTTAACACGCAAGGCAGGCACTATAAACAACCGCTGAACTACGGGCTAGCAAAATGTGTCACCGATGCCTGCATGCCCCGATGTGTTCCTAGCTCTTTCACAATATTCATTGCACATTCATTCGCTTAACTTTTTTCATTCATGTAAGTTTACTTGCTTTTCATCAAAAACCAACTCCGTGTTAGTGTGTAACCTGCAGCGTGTAATAGAGTATCAATAACAGAAGCAAAATTTGAAGAGACAATGTACTAGGCTGAACATTCCATCTGATTCAAGGTCACCACATCAGTGGAAGTCTGCATCTAAGAAACCCTTGGATTTCTTCCTCCATGTCGAAAGCTTGGAACATCAAACCACCGTAATGGTCACATGCATGCAATTGGGCCTGTCCCAACATGCCACACTGCCACAGAGCGCATGCTCAGCGAGCTAGCACATGCGTAATACTGAACTCTGTGACCCTTCTACTTGACATTTCCATCTGAAAAGGTGCATCAAGCGTAAGTGAGAACGTGACTTGCGGTTTTGTTGCGGTAAAATAACGATCACACCAAAATGCTGGATCACGATCCATCTTTTCCCAATTGAAGTAGGAACACGGCCTTAAAATGGTGAGCATGGCATGCCACTCTCCACACAAGTTAAATACATATTTTATTATCCTACCATGTACTCAGGATCAATGAAGGGGTCATTAACTGCTACAACCTGGATATCATTTTTCTGAAGGGCAGCTCGTAATACCAGCCGGCCAATGCGACCAAATCTGACAAAAAAATTGAAACAAAATAATTTACACTGTTAAGTTTAAGCTGCAGTGCTCGCATTACAAGTAACTTAAATTCTAGCTTCATGGAACAGTACCTTCTCCGGATGCTATATCCTAATGATTCTTGGGAATGAAAAATAATCTACAATAAAGTCAAGAATTTTCCGCTTTGTGGAAAATCTGCAAAAATTGCGGATTTGGGGGTAGAAAGCAGAAAACAACATTCTCGGTAAAAAAAAAAATAAATGAAACAAATAAATATTTTTTTTTGTTTCTGCACAATTAATCAAATAAATATGAACCCAAATTAGGAATGACAACTCGTTTTCACTGTTTAACTCACTTTGAAAGTAACATTTGATAGCGTTTTCCCTACTGTTTTTCCTTTGCGATATCGCAGAAATTGGTATTGATTTCCTCCAGCTCCGCACCGCGGAGATCACACGTTACACCGGTCCCTGTTCCCTGCAAAGTGCCCAGACGTCTCACGGCTTATGAATAAATCAATAGGGATGGGAAGAAGTCCAAGATCACAGTGGCATGGTGCGTGTAGGCCCTACATGTATCATTATGCCAAAGATACCTGTAGATGTACAATGTATGATGACTGTAGGCAGTACAGTACTGTACATACTGGTATATTGTAAGTACAAACAGTTTTTGTACACAAAACTCGGAAAGCGGAAGAAAGCAGAATTTGACTTTCAGAAAGCAGAAAATTCTTGACTTTAGTCTACATGTACTGGTACAGTAAATTTGCAGACTTCAACCTTAAGCCTCAAAGGGTCAAAACCACTTGGCCTTGAATGCTCCCAAAAACCAAAGGGCACCAAGGCCACTTTGAAATGTTTACTTATCATGCTTGTGGATGACTTTAACAGACATTCCTTCAATTTCGACATGGTGTTTAAATACAACTGGCAACTTTCATTGTTTCTGTTCACATGCTGAGCAGTCTGCTTCAATTGTAAAAATAAAATTAAGTACTACTGTACTAACTTTTAATTACCATTTAGCATTGTGTCTTATTACTTCTCATGATGTCATAAAGGCAACACTGTATTTCAAAAATCAGTGTAATTACTCAAAAACAATGCAATTCAAACAAGTCCATCACTGGGTCACAAACATTTATCTAATAAAAGCCAACTGTCATGCTCAGCGCCCGTGTGAGTACCAGTAAAATAGAGAAGAAAAAAATTAACTGGGTTGTACTTCTGTTGGCAATCCCAAAATAAGTGACTCGGTCTCAGTATGTGTAATGTACAGAATCCAATCAGTGCAGAATGTGTAATTATGTGCCACGACTTGTAATCAGTCTACGTATAAAAGTAATTTGATGCCACGTTTTTAGAGTCCAACCACTCAACTACGTTGATATGGTTGTCATACAGTGCCATGTTGTCTACAGGGCCATGCAAAACTAGTCCGTAAAAAAACATAGTGCTCAGTGCAGCTGCCGGTGGTTAACAGCAATGTTAGCACTAAATCGTAACTTAAAAGTTAAAAGCAACTTTAAATACATGTAGGCCTACTGATCGTTGAAGAGGGGTACGTCGGCCATGTAGCCGAAAGGTACGCGCTATTTTTAAAGGGCATCACAGCAATTCGCTGGGGCATCGCGGCAGTGGCCACTGTAAAGATCGAAGCCTGAATTTGTCTTCTTTGGACTAACATGTACATAAATGGTAAACAAAACTTAGAAGCAGGCAACTACACAATGTAGATGACCTACCCATTAATTCCAACCTTGGTGACCATAGTGATGCGGTGTTCTAGTCACTGCACTGGCTGATTACTGCAAGCAAATAAAAATTTGGATTCATATGTCAAGAATACCACAAGGCACATGTGTATGTATTGGTTTGCAATTTCTTTATGTACATGGATGTTTCAAATATAGACCAAAAATTGAGTTAACAGAGGAAAGAAGGGTAAAGTGCGAGCAATTATTAACGCGATCTTTCTAGGGTTTACTTTTGCATACAAAAATGACACTCGTTCAATATGACCTGGCCTCAATGCACACCCTTGTCCTATACAGCCATGTAAACCCCTTACACATGAATTATGGAAGCATACTGCTGCCACACTGAAATTGCCTAGTTGAAATATCTGTACTGCGAAAACAATGAGGGCAACAGCGGAACAAGTCACCTATGATTCTAGCAGTCCACTGAGCTGCACTGGTGATACTCGTGACTCCCTGTGTACTTTTATGGAACTATGGAAGAACATACATGAAAATGTAGCGGGGTGCATTTGGCCACAAATTTTGAGAACTTTCACGTGAGGGGAATTGACGTAACACTGTTCTTGTTTTGAAAGGACGTTACTATTATTATATTGGTTTATTTCTATCCATTTTTGCAGTTCAAAACTGCATTGCAATGGATTTAACAAAAAAAATTAACACCAAATTCTTTGACAACAATCACCATTACAGTTTACACATAAAAAGAAAACCGTTAAAACATAACCAATGACCATTACAATACACACATAAGAACATTGCTAAAACATGTCCACTGCAAGTTACAGGTCAAAAAATATATTATTGTAACCTTAAAAATTTCAGTCCCATGTAAACGTATCACATAGACAATTACAATGCAAATATTTATGCCGAGAAAACTTATAAGAGGGGCATTCCTTCCCTTCAGAATTAAGGTAGGAAGCGCACTGGTGTAGTAATGTTTTGTTCAGCATCAGATATCAGGAACTGACGGCTTATTCCACAACATTCAAGTATGTTGAGGCAGAAAGAATTCAGAAAAAATGTCAGTGTGTTTAAGGGTTTTCTTGAAAAAGGATAATGAAATTTGATTACGTCTATTTGTCAAAGAATCTAAATTGAAATGCAATAAAGCCTGAGTGTATGACATATACGCGACCCCATAAATAATCTGTAAGGCACATTTCTGTACTGGTTCAAGCTGAGTCACCTGGTGCTTGGTAAGTGCCCTGTTCCACTCAGTAGCTGCACACAACTCCATCAATGGCCTGACAAAGTTTTTATGAGATTAATATGAGGCAAACCGTGACTTCCGAGAACCCTTAATATATATGTATGGATTTACTGTTGGCACATTTGACAATGCTGTCCAGATTTTATCCCATTTGAGATTACTTTGGATAATAACCCCCAAAACCTTGATAAGTTGTGTAATGCAAAGTTCATAATCATCAACAGAAATAATAGGTATTACAGGACTATGATACAAGACCAACGACTACATCAGTAGTTAATTTTGCATTTGCCCTGCCCGATATGTATTTAAACACTGTATACTCAGTGTATGCCCCGAAGGCTTGTGAAAAAACCCACAAGCATACTCGTGTGGAACTCGAACCCACGACCTCCTGCTTACTAGTGCAGACATCTTAACCACTCGACCACCGAGCTTGCTGGCGTTGGCTGGCTGGTTCGAATCAAATGTAAGATCAGTAGTACATGTAATAAGAATATGAAACCAAGCCATTTGGTCTGTCCTTAAGACAGACAAAACTTCCAGTTTCAATGTTCTGCAACAGGTGGAAAGGCTTGCGGTAGCACCATGCAAAGGAATATATGTATCTTGTATCTGTGGTTCTGAAGAGAACCAGGAGTATACTCAACGTTTCGGACTGCGTGCTCAGTCTGTTGTCTCGACGGACTGTTGCTGTCCTTCACCATGAATAGGCCCTCCCCTGAAATCCCATCTTTCAATGTTCTATCGTCCTTGGTGACTAAGTGGGGCATTGGTATTAAGGCCTATTCCTCCTTTTCAGTTTTGGACGGGATCGGCCATACTAATGCTCCACGACACTAAATGTCCAGGGAAAATGGTCAGGGTTTTCACATTGTGAAGTCAGAAGTACCACTGAAGCCCCAAAAGTTTGCCTTCGGCATTTAAGAAAGACGTTAGGGGCCTAGGTGGTGATAACGGTGTTTTGGGTGAGTCTTTGGAATTTCTGAGAACCGTTTTCACTTCACTATTATCATTCTGTCATGTAGCCCCACAAATAGGGCTGTAGTGGCTCTCTTTTACAATCTGTCTCTTACATGTATCTGTCACCACCACAACCCTACTTCAAGGCATGTCTTAAATGCCTGAAATCCAAACTGCAGGATTGTCACAAACTTTGAAACCTAATATCTTCCGAAATGAACATGACTCGACAATTTTACTTACAAAGGCGTATTTCTCAGAGTTTGGACTTTCATACGAGCACCCTAAAGCTTTCCAGAATCCTAAATCTTCCGATGTATGGCGCCTTGAAAAACCCAGCCTGTACTATTAAATGCTGACCACGGGCGGCGCCATTTTGAAATGTCATAGGTGAATGAGGTGTCGGGTTGACAGGTTTGAGGTTTTGAGGTGTCATAGATGCATGACTCATGTAGTCACAGTATTGTTTAGTATAAGTTGCGCGCACTTTGCTTGTATACAGTATGTCCAAACAGAACATGCATATTAACGTTATTCAATTTCATCAGTTCCTTGTTCCTCTGTCACACAAAGTTTGACGAGGTACTAGTTTTGTATGGTAAAATGTATACAGAGCGCCTGTCGGGTGCCTTGAATTCCGACGCATGAAGCATTGCCTTCAATTTTCAAAATGGCGCCGCCCGTGGTCAGCATTTAATAGTACAGGCCGGGTTTTTCAAGGCGCCATACATCGGAAAATTTACAATTCTGGAAAGCTTTAGGGTGCTCATATGAAAGGCCAAACTCTGAGAAATACATGTACGCCGGTGTAAGTAAAATTGTCGAGTCAAGCTCATTTCGGAAGAATATTAGGATTCAAAGTTTGTGACAATCCTGCAGTTTGGATTTAAGGCATTTAAGACATGCCTTGAAGTAGGGTTATGGTGGCGACAGATAAGAGACAGATTCTAAAAGAGAGCCACTACAGCCTTACTTATTATGGGGCTACGTCCAAAATCGAAAAATGGAAACGCTCCACTTAGTAGAGCCAGCTAGCTGCACATATAAAATCCATCTGTGCCTTAGAGCATGCTAATATAGTTAGAAACGGTTGTGCAGTGTCTGGCCGGCCCGCCCCTAGCCCAGGTCTAACTACCACGGTATGCATTTCCAGAATGCAGATCCAGGTACATGTAATGTAGTAACGTGATACTCAAGCACAGTATCCGCATATCCGTTCGGCACGTAGTACACGTAGGCCTTGCTATACGGGTGCACATGTATGCTTGCAGCGAGCTGATCACGCCATCAGCTAGGCGTGTAAATCAGAAAACCTAGGCCTAATTTCCCAACTGTGCTCTGAATTCATTTCTTACCTTCAGTACTTTACTAGAAAATCAAACAGGATTACCTATATCGTAAATATCCATGGGAGAAAATCAAGTAACCTACCCTGATGATGCACCGTTCGCCTGGCTTTTTAAGTGAGCTGAATGAATCTCACCAATGGTATACCATGTACTGGTACATGAAGAGCGTGGCATCAGCATGCAGCATGGGCCGGGCATGCGGCAGCGCGTGAACGTAATTTATAAGTAGGGGTCAACGGCTTGTATGCTATCGGGCCGCGAATTTTTTTCATAGTGAAACATGAATTATTCATGAGGTCTATGAGACAGCACGCCGTGCACTAT